TAGCCAATGCTAATTTTATTCTTGTTTTAAAGTTATAATTTTATTATAATGTCAACGGTTCTTCACAAAAATATTTATAAAATCAGCGAAAATTCGTTAGAATAAATATATTCATTATCATAAAGAACGCTGTTATAATAATATTAATTTTTAGTTTATAAAACTATTTTATAACTTATTAAGTATTTTATTTTATACATTATACGTATTTATAAATTTTGATTACAAAATCTACATAATAATTTCATAAAATAAATTGTATCTCAATTGTTGAGTCAGAATTTTTAAATATGTCATTTATCTTTAAATGTAATATATTTATAATCAATACTGATTAGGTACCTACTAGCTGAAACTTTTATAAGTATTTTGCATATACATTTTACGTATTAATAGTTAATATAATTTAAAAACAGTTTAAATTTTATTCATGCATTATTACCTTTGTACTCGTGAATTGGTAAATTACATAGTATAACTTAAATTATTATTACATAATCTCAACAAATCCTATTTCGATCGAACGATATGAGTCATTAATGTTTGATGTCTAGTATAAATGTATAATTCGATATTGTGTAACGTTTATTACTAGTATATTATTTACAGCACAAATTGGTAGATATGATCAATGATCATGTACTATAATAAACCATATTGTTTACGACTCGCACACGCGATTTGTTGACAGCTTTCCGTGTTATTGGCTGTGACTGTTGGTGGCTACCGCTGACGGTGTCCGTCCGGTTCATTATCATACGAGATACTGGTGAGTGTCGTTCGTCGTCGAGTCCACGTCCGCGGTCATCCCGGAAATTCGTACGGTTCTTTTTGTCTCACGTGTGGCTGTTTTTTGTTACACACTCGTCCGCTCAAATTTGTTCATTCTGTGTGTAGACTACTTTATTTTAAAGGTCTGGAATTCGGATTGAGAGGGCCGAGTCGTGAGATCATCGTTTGGCTATCGATATGATAAACACCTTTCGATGCCGAAACTACCTTCGTAGTATTTATGCGAGCGCTTCGCTATTTCGTTTCGTCCGTTTTGACGCATTGTCGCGTGTGACATAGTGACGTACACCCCACCGACCCGTTTGGAAGTCTTCACCACCGTCAATCGACACCTAACTGTGTTATTAGTCAGCCAGTATCCCGGTAATATTTTATTATTATTATATTCGTGTCCCAGTGACCTAGTCAGTATAATCACTATCGTAACTTGTATCTGTGTTTATTATCATAATTTTGGAAAAATATATTTTTTTGCGTTATTTTCTACCGAAAAATATCATTTATTATTATTGTAGAGACGTCTACTATAATTTAGTATTTTATTTATCATAATGTATCTATACACATCATATCATTTTTATATTATTCCGAACCCGGTAATCTACATACACACTAGTTTTTTTTATAGTCGCAATACTGCCAAATACTGATAAGTAGCCGTCGAAAAACAAATATTATACGAAAACCCATTTGAATGATAATAATAAGATCATGTTAGTATATGTATTACAACATCTATATGATGTGTGATTAAAAATCGACTTTAATTAAGTTTTAAATATTTAAAACATATTAATTTATATTTGGCCACCATAAAAAGTAACTCTGAAATCAAACAAAAAAAGTTTCGTGAATTTTTCCTGTTTGCAGAGTCATTTTTGAAGCTAACACGTTTAAAACTCAACAAAAAAGAATAACTATCTACTTTTCTAGTATTAATATCGATTGTTTTTGACAAAACAGATTTTAGCTTAATAGTTCAAATTATTTTATTAATCTATTATTTCATTATCTCTGAACGATGAATGTACATATTTTTGTATATATTTAAGAAGCTTACAAATAAAGAAAAAGATTTTATTGTATTGAACTATTAAATCGTTTAGACTCACACACAAAATATTATAATTTCAGATCGTCGTCAATAATTAAATATAACTTGTGAAACCCAAGAGTCGTTATTAAAAAGCTTATAAATTTGAGTGCTAAGCTAAGTAGCTAATTCACGAGTCTTCTTTAATTTAATAGATGCATACGTTTCAACTAAAAAAAAACATTAAATATATTCTTAATATATATGTTTTTTCGTGTATTGACAATATAATATCTGATAAACCTGTAAAATATGTTCTGTCGTGTAAATCATAGAGTAATTTCTATTTACACTGATAATAGTTATTTTCTCAAGGATACATTATGTACGTAGGTCACCATGACTCGTGAGCCGTAATGTAGGTTAAATTCATGCTATAAATATATTATTAGGAAATATAATATTATTTACAATTTATATATTCACAGAAAAAAATTTCTTAGAATTCAGTTTTGTTAGAGGGTTAATAATAATAATGTAGCTTATAATTTATGTTTATTATTATTATTATTATTATTTGCTTGTTTTATTCATATACTTACATTAATATAGTATATTATTATTATTTAATGTTTTTATATTAGGATAGATCCATTGCATTGTTATTATTACTTAAAATTATAACAAATATGTTTAAGTGTGTATTAATTTGTAACCAAATATGTTAATCTGACTTTAACGACTATTAAATGATATCGGTTTTCTCGTGTTTATATATTCTAAATAATATTCTCTAAAATAAAATGCCAGCTTTAATTAATACAAAAAAAGAAGAATTTTTATTTAAATAGAGCATAAAAATTAATATTTTGCTATTATGTTCAATATATTTATTTATGCTAAATCACATTTTAATAGAATCAATCATACATAATGATAATTTCATTAGTAATTTTTAATTTTCAATAAGACAGTAATTTTGATGTATTTGTTTGTTTATTATTATTTTTTTTTTCATATATAGATGAAAAGATAATAAAGTTCAATTACAATTTCGTTCACATGACTTTTAGTGCATTTCGCATTAAATTTTTTTATATTTTAAACTTTGAAGACAAATTTTATTTAGATTTTTGTTGTTAAATTGTACTCGTAGATAAATAAAATGCCAGTGTTGATAAAAAAAAAGTATTGCATAGGTACTGTAATTGGTTTTTATTTTTACGAACTCACCTATCTATTTTATTTTATTGATGTAAACACCAATTTAAGGCTTTTACGTTCAAGGAGTCGTGGTGCATACATTTTACTTTGAATACATTTTGGTAAGAAGATATGATCGGCCCTTAGACGCCTGTCCTCAAGATAGAAGAGATTCAGAGCATACATGACTGGTTGATAAAAATGTTGGGAATGATCAATTTTTAATAGAAAGTCAGCATAGCTAAGAAAACAATTAAGTACACGTTCAACTAGTTTTATTTCAGTTCGAAGATAAGGATTCCAAATGATCAAGCCATAGTCAAGAGTTGTACGTATAAGAGCGTAATAAAGCATTTTTAAACAAGGTGCTGAATTTAAGTTTTTTGTATGGCGACGTAGAAACCTTGGAAGACGTAAGATCCAAGGGATATAGCCAATATGAGGTCTGAAAGAAAGTATAGAAGTATATATTATACCTAGATTTTTTACTTTGGAGATTCAATTTAAGAGCGAGTCATTATAAGTATAAATAAAATCAATGAGAGTCCATAATATAGAGAATGATATGATTTTACACTTATCAGAGTTGAGAGTAAGGCCGATTGCGTGACACCTGCATGTTAACAAAATTATTGAACGATGATTGAAAGAGGTCATAATCAAATATTGAAAGATATACGGGAGAACAACTTCGCATCATCAGCATAAAGAAATAAATGAACCGATGGGACATTTCCGAAGATTGAGTTAACAAAAAAATTAAATAATAGTGGGGATGAATTCCGCCTTGTGGAATATCAAAAGAAACCTTAAACTTACTTGATGAAATATTAAATAACTTAATATATTGCCATTTTTTTATGTACTTACGAAAACGACAATAAGGACAATGGTTAATTTTAAAATCTTCAGTTTAGGAAAAGGGTACTAGTAATGTAATGTATTAGAGAGCTTGATTTATTATATTTAGATAGTCCAAGTTGGAAATATTTTATTGTATAAAAATAATAAAAATAGATAGTACGGAATATAGCATATTATAATTTAGCTCAAACTATAGAATATCTATCATTCCTATTATAATGCTGCGTTTGTTGTTAACTAAGCGGCATTTTCATTTCTTTAAACATAAAACAATACTAAAGATAGTAAAATTATTTTAAAATTAATAAGAATACTTTCTTACGTTTAAAAAGTTATAATTTCTTGACAAAAACGTATTTAAGTATTTTTTCTCATTATTTATTTTTATTTTGAATACTATCATACAAAATAATTTAATTATTGAATACAGTTTGATGATAATATATATTTATTAAACGTTTAAGAGGATTATTGTCATTATGTTTATAGGTATGATCTAAATCCACAGGTATTAGAATAATTATTAGACGGCAAAACCCTTATGTCAAAAATATTGGATCACTTTACACTTCTTAAAATAAATTAAAAAAAAAAAGATCAATTTTCTTCTTTAAAATATTTAATTTGTTTAATTTTTACGATTTATACAAAGTAAAATTTTTTTCTAATTTCACGTATTATATGAAGTACTAAATACCAGCTAGTACACGTAAAACGTGAATGTTAAATACATAAAATTCATTTTTTTTTTCTTGAAAATATTCTTTTAAAATAATAATTTTTGAGATAGTGTACTTATTTCTCATTTAGTTTTGACAGTAAGACGCAATAGAATTTATACACACTTTTAAGTTATTTATGAACATCATACATCAACATATTTTTTCTCTTTACATAGCTAACTGACATGGATTTTACTGAGTAAATTAAATAATGGGATAAAAAAGATATCGGTGTCGTACTAAAGTTAAATATTTTAGTTGCAATATTAATATACTAAAGAAGATTAATGTATTTATATTACATTAGTCATTGGTTGTGTTTATTTTAATCTTAAATCATGATGATATTAATGTAATATAATGATAAATAATACTAATTTTTTCAGTTCCGGATCATGTAAGGCCCCGTGTTTGCAGTCTTCCAGAAAAACCATACAATCCAAGATTTGGAGATGAGTTGTATCGACTTCGTACTTTTAGTATAACTAACAAAGGAGGTGTGGTAAATTGTGGAGATAGTATTATAAACAGAAGATCCAGAAGTAATACCAGCGTCAATTCAACAACTAGCAAGTGAATATTATATCTATATATATATTTTAAATTATGATATAGTTTAAATTATAATCTAATAATTTTAATAATTTTAATTCATTATTAAAATAAGTGTCTATATTGGTAGAGCAGAACTATAATGGCTATTTAGTAGTAATTATAGTAATGAACTTTGAAACTTATAGAATGTATGAATATGGTTATAGTTATATAAATAATAGAATTGTCTAACAGGTGTAGTTCATAGATTAAAAATCTTAATTCCTACTATGATAGATTTTAAGGTGTATATTTTTAATATAAATTTAAAATAGTATCGAAGGAAAGGTAAAAAAAAAATTACAGTAGATATTATCAAATCCTTCAAAATTAAAACTTAAAATAATTTATTTTTAATTATAAATGAAACACATTGTAATAACTACAAATTTTCTAGCAATGTTTTATTATTGATAGATTTAAGTAAGGCAACTCGTGAGAAGCGAAGCATAACGAAATCACAGCATTTTTTTTCATACGCAACGTTGCATATCGTTTGTATTGTCGGAAATAATAACGATTTGTTTCTATATAATCATTAATAATGTTATCACAGTCAAAACCCATTTATTTTTTTCATTGATATACTATATTGGTTGTTTCTAATCTATTTTCTACAACTTGATTTGATTTTCCATTGCAGGTAAGTAAATTTAATATTATACAATCAATAATACCTTAGAATTATTATAAATATATCAGATAACGTATAAGTGTTTTTTCTGTTCAATATTTATGTTTTTGTAATAAAAACGCTATTTTGATATAAATTCTATATTATATAGACTAATATACGTAAATACAATTGAATATTCTATATAATTTATTACGACTTAATAGTATTTATTATAACCATGTGTGCCTCTAACGTTATTGCTTTTGTTTCGGTTTTTGGTAGTATTCAGAAATTTATTAGAATAATACTGAATGATAATCCCAGAAATGATTTCTCACGAGTCTGCATGAACTAGAGAATGAAATGGTTCTACTTATATATCGGTTGGGATATTGATTATAAAATGATGAGACGCATTATTAAATTCAAAAATTTTAAATAATTTGGTACTATATATAATTTGATTTATTTATTTAAGAAAGTTATATACTGTAATTTTGTTAAGTTTTGATTGCATTTTAAGGAATCAATAACTATTCAAAAGCGAATTAAAAAGTAAATATTTTACAGTTATAGAATGTATTAATTCTATTTTGAAATGGTACCATATAATATAGAATCTTATTAAAAGGGTTAGAGCTATATTTAAATTGATATAGAATTTTTTCAAAGTGAATGGTTTGATGAAAAATCTTTTTCAATTATACTGTTACTACTAGTTATGACTAGTATGTCTTAAGCATGTCATGCGAAAGATTCCAGAAATGTCAAAAGTTATAAATAAGGAATTTATTATAATTATTATGTTTAATATACCATATTATTGTATACACATTTTATTAATACAATGATATAAAAATAATTTGTAATATATATTTTTTTTTTCATAATAGTAGAATATTTTTATCCTCAGAGATTAATAACCTCGGTACACAAAACCTTTAATCTCAAAGCATTTTTTATATTAGAACTATAGATATATAGAATATTTTTATTAGATATTTCAAAGAATAATGGGATTCAAAATATAATTATAAGCCTGTATAATTTTGTAATCAGAAAATTTGAACGGCCTAGTTAAAATTAAATGAAAAGTGAAATGTTTTTGATAGATCATATTTTTGAACTTTTTCATTTTCACAACGTTAATCAAATATGTACTTTTAATATAAAATTAATAATTCAGATTTAACTACTGTAACCTAAATTAATTAATAATATAGGTATTTTACTGTCTAATGATTTATATTTTAATAATTACATGTCTACATAATTATGATGTGTAATAAAGCTTTTCGAGTATTCGGTTTTATAAGACGTAATTAATCAGAATTTAAAAATCCTAAATGTTTCAAAATATTATATTCCACCCTAGTTCATTCTAACTTGAAGTATGGTTCATTTATATGGAATTCTCATCAAACTAGATTAATGAATAAAATTGAATGAGTTCAAATCGATTGTTGAGAGTACTTGCTTTTAGGACCAACAAGACCAACGTTACACTTGAGCAGCTAGCTAGAGAATATAGTATCAAGGGTTTTTTTAAAAAAAGGGAACTATTTGATGTGACTTGGCTATACAAGTTACTTAATCCCTTAATTATATGTCATGAATTATTTAGTCAAATACCTTCTAACATTCTCCAAACTAATATTCGTGTGTTTTATATGTTTTATACACCTATTTATCGTCAAAATTATAGTCTATTCGCTTCGATTAATGTAATGTTAATCTTAGGTAATTCAATAAAAAACATAAATTTTTTAAATGAAAATTTATTCAGGTTATAATCATTTATTTAGATGTATCAATATCTATTAAATGTAAGTTTTAGTTAAGCATATGTTGTTACATATTTTATTTTTGTTTGTAAATTTTTCTAAAATAACTGTTCTGAGCCAATTAATTGGGTATATTTTTTAATAATAAAAATATTTTTATTAATAATAATTTATTAAATAATACGAGTATATATTATAAGTTATAATCCATGAATACTAAAGTGTATGAGTATAATGTTATCATAAAAATGAAATTAATAATATGTTTTCAGAATTAAATAATGTATTAAAAACAATTCCAGTAGAAACTCGTTTAACTGTCAGTGTCGGGGCCGGGACAATGACGGTTAATCGAATAGACAGTTAACAGAAATTTTTCAATAAACGTATATATTTTAAAATGTGATTCGTAGACAATAATAATATGTTATAAAAAATATATACTAATAATATATAATATTATGTAATTTTTTTACGGCACGAGCTTTTTAAGCGGACATGTATCGTATTTTACGAAGTAAGACCTACGTTGTATTTGCCTCCTTTTGCACTTCAAACCAATCAATGATAACATTGCTTCTGCTTCTGAGTAGTTAATTGGCGTTTCTAAGATTGTTTTTCGACGGTGACCGATGACGGATAACAGAGAGTGACGGTCAATTGAGTGATGATTAAACGAGGTTCTACTGTGTGTACAAATTTAATTTTTGAAATAATATATTTTATGTTATTTGTTTGTAATTGACAATAAAATTATAAGAAAAATATATATTTTGTAACCGTAACGGTCGATTTCTATTTTATGTTTATTACACAGAGTTGCATAGTAAGGTGAATAATATTTTAATTTATAACACTATTATATTTATGTTTTGCATTTGTATGTTTAGTCATACAAAAGTAGATTTTTTTAAATACTTTTTCCTTTTTAACTTCATAACTTTACTTTTTATTGATTATATTTTTTTAAATAGTTTTCTCTAATTATTTAAATTTTTTACTAATACGAGTACTTATATACTTATTATTAGTAAATGTCATTTAATTTTATTCCTAAGATTTTTTTTTTTTTTTTTTTATTAAAAAATATTTTTATAATACTATGTCAAATTACTTTAAATTTATGTTGAATATCGCATCGGTCGAGTATTACTCTATTAATTTGCGTGTTAATGTTGAAGAAATGTCTTCATTATGTTGCTGAAATTCTTTCTAATAGATTGAACAAAACAATTTGTTTTATTAGATGAAATAGAAACGTGCAACATTAAGCTCTTTCTAAAACTCCTTTTTCTTGCATTTTTCTTTTTTTCTGTAGTTTTGCTTTAGACGATAAACATCAGACATTTTTCCCTTAAACCGATTCTGACAGTTTAAGCAATTGCATTAATTTACTGTCAGCTCTCCTACTATTAAATTATTATGTCTTAGGTTTGATTGATAGTTGGAATAAGCGAATGTATTCGTAATTAGTATTAACATGTATGCATATAACTGAATATATTTAATTAAAAGTTAAAATCCTGTGTCAAATCCAACATAATAAACTTGCCGGTTTACAGGAACTGTAGCGCAATATCACAGCTTTTATTCATGTAATTAAAATTATATTATATTATTAATTACACCACCGTTAAGCATAGTTGTGTTCATTCTGTGGTAATTAAATATTTTCACAAGATATGAGCAGGAGTGATATATAATATTACATATTTATATTTTTTTTCATATCCTATCATATATTTCATAACCTCGGCATATTATTAATACGTGGTATATTGTATTTTAGCTGTTCTAAAATAATTTCTGAAATGTTTAGATACAGTATGTCTAGTATAATAGGATGCGGTCAACCATTATCAATACATTACCAAAACTAAAATCTGAAATTATTTACATAAGTTTTTACAACGACTTCCATTAATGGTTTTCAATTATTATGGTTTCATAAAATATTGCAGGTAACCATTTTAAAATATTTCAATTTTTATAACAATATTTGTTCAAAAAAATATTTCTTGGTAGTATTTCCAAATTTATAAGAAACTGAATAATTTTTAAAGATAAATAGCTGAAAAATAAATATAAAGTGGACAAAAATATTGGAAGCTTGCTAGTTAATGACCAAAAAATCAAATTTTTAAAAATAAATCAAAGGAAAAATGTATTTACAAGTATTTTAAGCAGTTGGAGACTTTACCTTTAAAAAGGTATCTAATTGTAAATACCCCGGAATTAATATTAATCAACAAACAAATAGCTTCGAAGAAATTAACGGTATAAAATAGAGGCTATTTTTCACTAATGCCATTATTTATGTCAAAGTTGTTACTATCCAAAATAATGAAAATAAAACTATGTAAAGTGCTCATTTGTATTGTATGTACGTAGAACGTAGGCATCATTAAATTTGGGTGAAAATAAATTAATGGTATTTGAAAGAAAAAATGTTACGTTAAACTCTATTGTTACTAAAGAAAAAAATACATCAAATGATGAATAAGGAATAAATGCAGAGCTAAAGACCATATTTTATAAGCTACACGTGATAGGAGTTACTAAAATATAAATATAAGCTAAATCAGATACATCTTTGGAGAGTGGAGGGCTAACAATGTCTCAAACTAGACAAAAAAATACCAAGAGAACAATTCAGAAACGGTGGAGTGCTGAGTCTGGGAATACCTCAAACTCCTAGAATTAAGAGATAGAGAACAGTGAACAAATCATGGAAAAGACTGCATGAAGAGGCATAGTGGAAGAAGTAACGATTGACCTAAAAAGCTTAAAATAAGGAAAAACATTTTGTAAATTGACTGATATTGTAATACTCGTATAACATATATAAATATATTACATCAGAAAACCAATACAATTTATTACAAACGAATAAAATAATTTGTAATAGCTTAAAAATTAAAAATAACTTTCAACAGCTTAAATAAGTTAATATTGCTTTAAAATATCATTATCAAAATGTTATCATAAAATTTGTTTAATAAATCATATTAATTAAATAGTATATACGGTAATAAATTTAGGGATTAGAACTTGTTGCATTAAAAATCTTTAAAATAGATTTGTAAATATGCAATTAAAATTACTAAAATATCAAAATATATAATGCAGCTAAACATTTTTTTTTTTTTTTTAAGTCCATAATACAACATATAAAAATGCTAAAATATTAAAATTAACTGAAAATTAATATTAATTGATAATTGATGAATTAATTATATTGCTTAATAAATAATAAGCAACTTAAATGTGTATTAACAAATACGAAAATTAAATTATATTTTAGGCATTTTAAAATAATATAAAATAATATAAAGTAAAGAGAAGTAAGTGGTTTCCATACATCGCATTCGAATACGAAGTAAAACGATCGCTATCAACTCGCGATACATGGATTTCGAACACACACTAGTTTTTAATTTTTCATACAATGTAAAATCTGGATGGATGCTTCCTAAATCACTTATTTTATCATTCAAACAGGGCCACAACTATATTTCAGCCTCGATCAAATTCATCATCGTCGCTAATCTACTCAACAAAATATAACTTTTACCGACGTATTATCTAGTATTTAAATTTTAAATAAATTTTTGATTATAATTTGTGCATTCTTACATTTAGATGTTATACATATGTATAATTAAACCTCATGAATATTATCTAATGGTTACTGAGCCGCAGATTATTTAAATTGAAAATAAAAAAAATCTTAAGTTATTAAGTACTGTATAATTTTTGAAAATAAGATTAAATTGATTATTAATCGATAAAAAAGACTTCTTAAGTACAGATAATTTATTATGGGAAATATTTCTTATAAATGGTTAACTATAAAAGATATTGATTAAAAATAATAAAATGGTAAAAGAAGCATTAATATACTGACAAAATATGTATAAATACTTTTACAGTTTTTCTTATATATTGTTCTGGTCTCGATATAACAGAAGTTACAGTTTTATAGTATTATACATTTTTTTAAAGCGATTTATTAATTTATTTGAGGAGATGGGTTGTTATTTAAATATATTATAGAATTTTAATTATATTATAGAGATTAAATACACATAGTTATACAAAAAATGATTTTTTGCTGTTGATACATTTAAATTTTAATTAAAAATTATATACATTAGTACATATTATTTTAAATTAATTATTAAATTAAAGAAAAAGCTTTCAAACTGAATTTTAAAAATAAAACTTTATTTTCAATAATACAATATACTTAACATTGATTTTTTGATACTATATATAATATATTAGTAATGGAAATTATATGTTAACAAAAATTATATCATTGATTTCTAAGTATAAATTATAATTAATATTACTTACAATATTCATATTGGTATTTTTAATATTATACTAAAGATGGGGCTAAATAGTGTTAGTTAAAAATTTTAAAATTTATTGAGTAGAAAATATTTTTGAAGTGCTAAGTTTTATTTTATTTTTTATGATGATACTAATACATATTATAATAGGTAATATTTTTTAAAATTTAATCTATCAGAAAGGTTTATATTGTTCACTTTAATATTCTTGCTATTTTACAATTTATAAATAAACACTATACCATAATATTTTAAAAGGTAATAACTTTTATGATATGAATTTACTAAAGTATTAATTGAATCAAAAATTAAAATATTTTACATGTTTATATTATATTTACTTGAAAATAAATATTTTGTTTTTATTATTAATTGTTTATTTAAAGGTACCTAGAATATATTAAATAATTGATTATTTTTTAATGTAATTAATAATTTTAAATTATTTTATAATGTATATATCCGTGGGAGTGCCTATAGATGAATTATTATTTTATAAAATCCTATTACCAAACATACTGAAAATGTAATTTCATTCCCCTTTGGATACTATAATTATACGTATTGATGTATTCAAATGATTTTTTATTTATCATATTATTACATATTATTAACTGTCAACACTTCATATATTATTATGTGTGTGTATAATGTAATATAGTTTAATCAAATAGGTTATATGGCATAAAAGATCGAAATTAACTTTTATCCATAATTCTTGAATCGCGGAGATGCTTCTTAAACGGTTCGTTTGTTTCACCATATTTAATGACAACAATTTTATTTTAGGGTTTTTGTAAATTATAAAAATACAAATTTTATGTTGGTTAACATTTTTTGTATTAAAAAAAATGTAATAATTACTGTATTGACAATATCTTAATTAGTTCCAAATAAAACCAGCGCCAAGAAAAAATGTAATATGTGGTAATCAACATAAACGTACATTAATCAATTTCGTTCAACCACAGTAACGTAATCGCAACACGCGGCGTATATATAATATATATATTATATGGTGTAGAGATGTAAAATTCCCATGGGTGTTTCTGGTGTTTCAGGAGATATAGGATTATAGTGATAACTGATAATATACGTACGTTATACGCATGAAAGAAGTAGTCGAGACGCTTGCAATTTCTTTTTGATATATTTCATGAAATTTATGAAATATATTACATATTGAATATTTTCGTATACACAATTGATTGACACGATTATGACTTGCGCTCGACATTAAAAATCTGTTAATTTTTATTTTTCTTAACCAATTATGATTTTATTTTTAGACATAGTCCTAGTAACCTGAGCGGAATATCACCTTTTGACGGTTCGTGTTGTGGTGGAAATAGCAGTTATAACGATCTAAGTTCTGGAGAGTCTAGCGTCGCTGAAGAGATACCCAAGTACAGAGTGGTGCTTCTTGGCGAGTCTGGCGTCGGAAAAACGGCGTTAGTTTCACAGTTCATGACATCTGAATACATGAATACGTACGACGCATCTTTAGGTAAGTGCATTAGAGTTTTTATTATAAATTTACCTAAAGATAATTTCTTATGACCGAAACTAAAATAATTCTAATTTTTGCCAAAAGTTATGATTTTTTTTTCAATCCTATTTTAGGGCGTCGTCCATTACTATACTAAAGTATAGTAATTCGATTATTTATATTTTTATCGTATATTTTTGAGTTTTTTTGTATATGCTCAAGATCGTTAAATATTATTACTCATCATAATAAGCAAAAGTGAACAGTAATAAAAATTTATATTTTTAAATTTAATAAACAAAATAATAGAAGGTCAAAATATGGTATTAAAATGTAATATTACCACTGCTGTAAGTTAGTTTCACGTGATGGTTTTCAAAATAAAATTAAATGCACAATATTACAGCGAATTCTAAATACTTAAATATTTTTCGGCATAAATTTATCAATGTATGATTTTTAGTATATTTTATTCAGGTAGACAATATTCAATGTATATAAACATACGATTTTTGGTTAGGTATGTAAAGTGCTATGGTCCATTTAATTTTCAGTTAAGGTAATCATTCCTAATTTAATTCACCACGTGCCTTTTTTTTATGGGGTTTTTTCCAAAGTATAACAAAATTTCCATTGTTCAAAAACTTTAAATATCATTAATTAGATTTCATAGTGTTGGCATGTCTAGAAACTCTCTTTAAAATTAATTTTTCTATATGACTGAATTTTTTACAGTTATAAATAAATAAACTAACTAGCATATTTTTTTTTATTTATAGACTTATATTATACATTTATTTTATTATAGAAAATTAAATTTTAAGTAACAAAATTAAGTTATTAATAAAATTAAATTTAAAAATACATTAATATATTTGGATAACGATTTTTTATCAGTAAATGATTTATTTGTATATAATATGTACTTTAAAATTGAACTATTTTATTTAATAAAAGAAAAAATTAATAATTTTTTCTTTGTAATTTAAGAAAACTAAGATGAAAGATTTAATCTAATTTAATACTATTTCCTACTTTCCTTGTATTCAAAGATAAATACATTGATATTAAATTAGTATACATAGTGTGGGTTATGATATTTTGTCTTGGTAAACCATTATACAGCTAAAACAAGTAAACTGGGATCCTGAAAGGCATTGACCCACTCAGTACAAGGAAAACAAATTGAAAATTACCAGACACAGCCACATAGGTTTATGAGCTACAGTAAAGTTATCAGCAAGTTTAAAATAGGTTATCGTAAACATAATGTTGAAAAAAATATATATGTATATTGTATATATTTTAGTTGGGTATTATAAACATAGGTTTAGAAAATTAAAATAATGTGTTCATAAAATATATGCTTGATACCATACTTTATTTTATTTCGAAGGTGAAATATCAGATAAGACATTGTTCAAATTAATATTTATGTTAATATTTATTTAATTATTAAAAATAAAAAATAATAAGCATTTTGAATGTATTAGTATAATTTATATTAAAAAAATAAAGGAAAAAAAAGTGTTTTTTGATTTTACTTTGTCGAATAATGAATATATTACAAGGAAAATAGTATAAAGATTTACTTTTTTACTTTTTACTTTATATTAACTTATTTCGAAGAAATTATAGGCGATTATTTGATGATTTCGAATAAACCATAAAGTTAGTAAGAGATTTACTGGAAATTGGTCACATTAACGAGTCCTTTAAATTTATGGATATCACCAATGTCGGTGCAATTAATGTTTCTTTTTCGTTTTTACGTAAATTAGAATTAATATTACGCAGGAAAACAATATTAGTCTCATCCATGTCAGCGATAATCACAGGGTCTGTATCTGGCACTGTTAAATTTTTAGTAACACGCATATCAGTCTCCAAAATTAATTAAAAAATTTGTGTGATAAAATCACTCTTTGCTTTTTGCTATTTTTTTTAATAATTTTTTTTCTTCGTTTTAGAGCACCCGATTATATATCATTATATTATTTGTGTTAAAATGAACGAAGAATGCAATAAAATAATATAATACAATATAACGAATAAAATTAACGGTAGCAAATATGTAATATGTTTGTTATTTGTATTTGACAATATTGATTAAATCTGGCTAAGGAGCTATAAAAATTACAATACTACGGCGTATCAAACATGATAATTTCTAGATATCGGGCATTGTAAGACATTTTTCACAAGTAAAAATAAAATTATATATACGTCGTATATAACCATAAAATGTTTAACGTATAGTCCTTATAGGTAATAGATATATAAAAAATTACAAACTCATTTTAGCAAGCCCCTAAAAATTCGGGTCCTTGTACTCTGTCTTTTTGTGGGAACTCTATGGGTTCCTACTTATAATGTGCGTAGTATGTACTTCAATAAGTATTTGTTCACTGATCAATTAAAAATTATACATACAATTAATAAAAATAAGTAATTTGAATTATAGAGCTGATTTTTCTAACAATACTATTTATTACAATTTTATAACAATCAAAATATATAATTTATATAAACGAAAGATAAAATTACAAAGATATACATTTTGGGTACATTTTAAAAGGTTAGTAAATTTTATTATTAAATCACCTGTATTTTTTAGAATCTTTTAGGCTTAGAATTAAATAAATCCTCAAAGATTGAAAAGTGTAAAAATTTTTAGAATAATTGGAATAGCCTATCTACAAAATAATATTACCACTAAATAAAGTTATACAATTTTAAATCTGATTATTAATGTATTAATTAATTAATTTATACTTATAATATTGAGTGCCGAATGGTTAATATTGTTTTAACCCCACATTAAGTTAAAATTACACATCATGTGAAATCTAATTTACTGTGTTTTGTTTTTTTTTGCCTTAAAATTCAATATCATGAAAGTTATTTTTAAAAATGATTCAAGTATCAATACATTAAAAAAGTATTTAATAAACTATTTATTAATTTTAAACCTGCATAGGCGTACTTGAGTATAAATTATTTACAAGTGTTTATGAATGTAATTTTATAAAAGTACTAAGAAAACACTTTCTAATTAAAAAAGGAAGGTTTTTGCGATTGCTTTTCATATTCGGTCAGTGCATTATGATAATGAATAATACTTGTTATAATATTTATAAGGTGAAATAAAATTATCTGTATTACACTAGATAAGCAACTCTTGTCAAAAAAATGAATCTTGATTCACTATTTCCTCTTTAGGAAAATTGACACTGATTGACTGATGTAAATAAAATTGTGATCTTCGATATTTCGATATGTTACCTACCTATATAGTTCGGTAGTATGAATATTTTTTTAAACTAAAGCATGATGTCTTTATCTCCACGATTACTTTGTATTTTTTGGCGTTATGTTTATCAAGTTTTTCAAATTTCCGATAATATGTGGAAGTGTGAAACTACCATACAATGTTGTTATTGTGTCCCTTACTAAAAGATCACTTGTATACTGTTAGATATTAAGATAAATTACATTGTTCGACTACATAGTAAATTAGTAACCAACGGTAAGATAACCGTTGATTTGAATATAGACTTTACAGAGTCTAAGTATTATGATTAATGGAATATTTAAAATTCAAAAAATTAAAAAACAAATATTAAATAAGATTTTTTTCCAAACTATTGTGGTTAACATTGTTAACAATAATAATTTGACATGCATTTTTAATTGATTTTCTTATATATTTTTATTTGGATTTTTTTATAGGGTTTATAACTTATATCTATATGTATGTAAAATTGATGAAACTATAGTTATTTTATACTATTTTACAAATATCAGACTATCATACTTTTTTTTTATTATTATTATCAATGCGTAGTTGGTCTTTATAGTTATAAGACCTTTAGAAACCTACAGTAGATTCATTTTATAAACCTATATAGTAATAAGAAGTAAGTGCATAAAATTTAAATTTAAAACTTAATTAATTAAGTTTTGTATAAAGTAACTAAGTTAATATATCATAATATACTACATTAGGATTGGTTGATTGATAGTTTTTTTTTTTTTTTTTACGAGTAGTTACCTTAACAATTAGGTAGTGTATAATATAATAAAATGATAATAAATACCTACATTTTTTCAAATTAAATTATGTTAGCAGTATATTAGGTAAAACAATAATAATAAACCCATTTCAACTTTCTAGTAATCTCTGGCGTGTAAAATAATTACACGGAATTAATTATTGGGTCCACAAATAACAAGTTGGCAATACAAAATATTTACCTATAACATGCAAGTTTTGTTGTAAGAAGAATATTATAGTGAATTTCGGCTTTTGTTTTAATTCAATTTAATTAATCATGTTATGATTGTTATCTAACATTATTTTGATAAATTATTGTTGGATAAAAATGGGTTTAACTTGGAAGGACATAAGGTACAATATACTACATAAATATGTTCTTATGTAGTTTTGTCTACTGCGACAATAATAGGTAAAATGTTATTAAAGTACAGCCATTTATATTGCAACTATAAATAAACTTATACCTTGAAATAACTATTGAAGTTCAACTTAGATAAACTATCACACTGCTTAAAATTCAATGATTTATATATATATATATAGTTTATTGATCCAATCACTATAATATCAGACTGCAAAAATAAGCCGCTTTTGTGTTTAATGCTATAATTAATATAGTAATCATATTATTACGGCTATTATTGGTTGAGTTAATTCATCGTTATTAATTTTACATTTAATTTTTTTTATAGTATTTATAATAATACCTTAATTTTTACAAATTAAATAAAACGAAAATCAGATGATCATTTTTGACAATAGTATAATAATTATTAAAATTAAATTAAAATTCTAAAAAATGAATATATTTAAATGTTGTGTTAATTAATCTCCAGAATATAATTCAATGATTAGAATAATTTTTTATCTAAAAATCATTACTAAAAATTCCAATATTATAATTTATATATACACTAAGAAAAACAATAATTAAGAATTACAGTATCTACCTCATGATTCAATGATTAAATTTTTATTTACTACTTGCTTACCCAGCCATGCGTTGCTGTGGCTGTTATAATTCGTTGAATTAATGCTATACTAAACTATTTATAAAGTTCTTAATTGATAACTTGAAAATTTAATTTTATAAGTGAGATATATAACGTTAATTTTTAACTATTTTTAGTAATTATTTTCATTATTTTCAATTATAAAAATTATAATGTTATCCATGTTATTTTTTACTCATCGCTTGTTATCATTTGTTACTTCAAATAAATATTATCGATTAACATCTTAAAGATATTTTTAGAGTTATAATTTTAATTATAATTTATAACACAGCATTTAGATGCATTATCTTAAAATTAAACAAGTTATTTTTTCTTCTTTTTTTCTCTCTAGTATATATTTAATCGAAATATTAACTATCTTACTTATGTTTTAAGTTTGATAAAATCACACACATGAGTAAAATCAAAATAAAAATCGGTTATGTAGTTTGGAATTCATTGAATGCAAACCCGTTGTATGCTTAAGTTTTATACATAAAGATTTAGATAATAAAAACGAAAAAGAAAACCATGATTGCATTAAATTTTTTCGTATGAAATACCTATAATTTTTCAGTTGACTTTGTAGAGTTAAAATCATGTGATATTTTTAATAGTGAACATTTATTATTTCAAAAAATATTGGGTTACTTTACAAGAACTATGTCTTTTTTCTTATTATTTATAATAAATTATACCTACCTATATATTAATTTTAATTAAATATGTTCACTTTAAAAAAAATGATTATCACACTAAATTATTTTCAATTACCTAAAATTTAAAATTTATCGAATAATATTATAATACTTATTATTTTCCTATTTAACAAACAGCACTGTAATATGTAATAACACGTGTTATTAGATATTTTATAGGTACATTTCAACGTCACGTAAATCATTACAATATTGGTCATTTTTATTTGTTTATAAACTTAAAAATAGCCAAGGTTCGCTTAAAAGCATACAAAATCCCTTGTGTTATTGCAAATGACATACTCAATAAAAACACTCGAGTTGATGTCAAGTTATCAATAAAATCGTTCCAATCCACTTTATCCCAACTATTGGTATTTATTTATTTTTTTTGAATTGTTTTTGAAGTGACGTAAACTCGAAGGTATACGTCCACTATACACAAGTTAGCCTTTGAACGACGACTATATATAGTGTAACTATGTTATTTTATGGTATAATGAAGTTCTTTGGAATGGAGAATAGAAACTTCGATAAATTTTATTTTCTGTCTTGAAATGGATTTAATAAAAGCATTGAATGAATAATGTATTATTACATAGTAGAAACGCACAATGTATACCTTTTTATGGTAAATTGTCAATTACGTTTGCAGATGACGAGTTTGGTGAAAAAACCGTTTCCATACTACTGGATGGTGAAGAGTCTGAAATGGTGTTCATTGATCACCCTAGCATCGAGATGTCGGTAAGTACATGTACAATTTGTTTACTTACCAAAGAAGATTGTGTATACCTTTAATATCTAAAAAAAACCGATCATGTATATCATATTTTGTTTTATTTTTTATGTGTGTATAGGTAGATATATTTTTTTTTTATATATGTATAATGCGTTTAAGGTATTTTAATGTAATACTTTTAGTATTTTTAACTCAAAAGGATTCTCAGAAACATTTTATCATTATTCTCAGTATTTTTATAATGTGTTTATAAAGAATTCTACTAAAATATGTATAGGGTTATATATTATATTTAAATTAAAAAGAAATGAAATAATTTTTTCATTTTTTCAAAGTAATGATTTCACTATAGGTATTCAAAAATATTATTCAATTTGTCGGATGCTAATCTCTTATTATTAATTATAATATTATAGATTCGAATTATTTTATTAAAACAATTTAGGTTATTATGATTTTATTTTATTCGATTAAAAACATTATAAAATAGTAAAATACACAAAGTTTAACAAAGTTATGCTTATATAGGCACCTACCTACTTAATTTTTATAATAATATAATTACTTGCCTCGTGATATATTATTTGCAGTTCGTAAATAATTTCTTAGAAAGATTGTTTAAGATTTAGAACTCACAAAATACCATATAATATCATATCATATCATATCATATAATTTTACCAACGTAAATTATAGACTATTTTTTTTCACCAAAAATGTGTGTCAAGTTCACACTAATCATACATTAAGTTAATCTTTAATATAATTTAATTAAATGTTATTAATTTATTATTTTTTGAACCAGGGGTTTATTTTAAAAATCAATATGAAGACTGTGTAAATAATATAAACGCGTGTGTAATAAATAAACATTGAAACATTACTGAACAAATATAATAAACATTTCATTTCTTATTTCACTAACTTATTGAAATTTAATCTCAACAACTCTAAATAAAAACGGATATCTAATAATACTAAAAGTTACATTTTTAAGTAATAACTCTCATAAAAAGTTTATAGTTATGAGTTCTCTTTAATCTATTTACATAATTTACGTCATTAAATAGTATTAAGTAAAGAATACAATTACAAATTGAAAAATATAAACAATACAAAATTGAACAATTTTCAAAAATATTAAAATTTGTTTTTACATTTGTTTTATACATAACATTTTCAAATCGAAATAACTAGGTATTATTTTCTAAATATATTTTGATATACGTATATTCATATACTTAAATTAGTGTATTTAAATAACTTATAATAATAGTTTATTTATATAATTATTTATTTTAACGTAAGTAAACATACAATACATATTTTTTTTTAAATTTAATTGTATTATTAATACTTATAATAATATGCTTCTATTATATATAAGTACTAATTACATTTATATGATTTATTTATTATCCAATATGAGTTATGACTATGTACATATTACATACATTTGATAAATATTCAATTATATTTGAAAATATTTCTAATAATTTATTATTTAGACAATAAAATATATTCGCTCTATGAAATATTAATATACTTTAGATTGATTATAAAGTCACACACTAAGGATTATTACGTTATCTTTTGTACTGAAGTTTAACTTTCATGATATTTGTTTTTTTTTTTAATTTTAGATTTTACATTTTATGTGTCAGATTAGATTTATAGAAATACAAACCAAAAAACAAAAAAAACAATCATCGTTTTGATTTTTGAAAAAAAAAAAGTTGGAATATTTTATTTAAGCTACGTGTTTTTTTAATACTTCTATTCAATTTAAAAATTATACAGAATATAAAGTATAAATATTTGACTTAATTGATGAGCGTATTGCATCGAATTTGTAGAAGGTATCGTAATTTATATTAATTTACAGTAATCATTAATACTATAAATTTGATATTAATCTGTTGTATGTACGCATAATTCATTGACTTATAAAATCAGAAATAGGCTTTAAACCTATTCCGCGATGTACTATTTCGTGTTTTTTTTTTTTTTAATCAATATAATTGGATGAGTAGTTTTAAAGAATAATATACATGACAGAGATTTACTTTTTCACATTTATATACTATTTACACATATGTTAAAATTGTATTCATTGGGTATTCATTTTGATACAAATTTTATGAAATTATGCATAATATATTAAAAACTATACATTCGCGCAACGCACGAGAGCTCGAAACGCAGCGGATATGGGTACCATTAGTCGGGGCTACGACGTAATAGATATTTATAATTAATCTTGAGCAGGTGGGTAAGGCGGGTGGTGGTCTACACTACGAACCCCTCGACGGCGTGCGCGACCCTGTTGTCGGGTGGCGGGTACCGGCAACAGTACGACGTGCTGACCCCTAGACAGGCGAGCGTGACGGACAGCGCGGATATGCCGCACACGACGCCGGCGCCGATGTCGTTGAGCGCCGGGTCCAGCACGGTGCTCTGACACATAAGCCACAGCGCGCACGTCTCCAGGGCGCTGAACATGGCCACCAGTATGTAACCGGTCACGTAGTTACGGTTGGGCAGCCACCGCCACTGCTGCGACCGGAACCCGGGAAAACCCAGCACTAGGCACACTGCGGCCGCCAGCAGCCCGGCGTTCAAGTAGTACAGCCGGCCACGCCGGGACATCAGGTAGAAGCACAGCATGCAGCTGGCCGTGCCGGACACCACCAGTACCATGGCGGCCGACCACAGGGTGCACACGGGCAGCGACTGGACGGACGTCCGGGCTGGGGGAGTCCGCGACCACGACGGCTTGGCGGGCGACTCGGTCATATTATGCGGCGTCGTTTTCTCTTCCACCTGTAAAAAAACACAAAAACGTCAACATTTGTTGTCAGGGCTTGGCGCTTGTATGGTATTCGTATATTTTGTTGTTAGAACTTGAAATTATTTAGCCGAGTAATCTACGAATTCCGTTCAGGCTAAAAAAAAAAAAAAAGAGTTCAGAAACGAACTTTATAGTGGTTTATTTTTGGCACAGTTCTGCAGGTTTTTTTTGCACGGTTTTACTGATTTTTATTGTTTTTTGCTGATTGGACGATTTCAATCGACATTTTTTTTTTTTTTATATAACCACATCTCTAAAATTTTCTTTTGGACAGTTGTTAAAATGATACTGATGCTTTTTCCGAATACCAACAGATAAGTGTTGTTTGTGTGTTACTACGTTTTTGATATGGCACCTTGTATAGATCAACTACAATGCTTAAAGTATTATATTTACGAGAAAAAAATCCAATTATTACGTGTGTGACACATGGTCTTTATCATTCTTCATCATGAGATGTCAGAAAAAATTAAAGGGCGACAAACATTCGTCGATAACGTTATACATGTCTAGTACTAAGAAAATGTTCAAAAATATATCCAAGTTTGATGTTAATCTTTTCAAAACATTTTATTTTTTGTTGATTTATCTCGTAAGTTATTTAAATATGTATACCTACTCGCAAATCTGTCAGTCAACTACACTTTTGATATAATATACAACGGCTCGATTTCGGTTCAACAACCTTGTTTGAGCTCTTCAGTACCGCGTATTTATTATTCATGAACGTTATGATATAATACCGTGGTTTCGTCAACCGGTACAGGTCTTGTGATGCGTAATATACTCGAAACGAAATCTCAAACTCGCTGCCGCCGGCGAACCGCGCCGAAACTAATATAATCATATATATAATATTATATGCGATTCGGGAGTTGACTTTTCCGTGCAGCAAAAGATAATTGAAAATTTACTTGATGTTAAGCAGTGTGTGTGTGTGTGTGTGTGCGTGTGTATTTTGGTTGGCTTATTAATTGAGAAACAATCGGAAATTACTTCATAAGCAAAGGGCGCGTTAAGAGCGTAAATTATTTTATTTGACGTGTACGTTAACTATTACAGCGGCTCGCCGTCTGCAGCAGCAATCAAAATACCGAAAACTTTTATGAAGTTTTGACAACAATACGCGCATTTGCACACAACGATTAGTGAGGAGTACACCTTTACATATATAATAATACTATTTATTACTCATATATTACACGTCTATCCGTAAACGGTACCCAAGCCATGTAATATTGTTATTATTATACACATGTATATCGCTTTTAACGTGAAACTTTTTAAGAAAAACATTGGAAACTCCGAAAGATAGAAGATAGAACACAGTGAAAGTCGCTCGCTCGCTACATATTATTATGTGCATCTATATATATATATATAGGTCACATCACTATTTCATCATATCATCTAAAAGTAACGGCTTCTGATGCATAGTTCGTAAATTATGTAATATTGTATAGTAAAATTCAATATTCAATATACCAAAGTAAATCGCTAAATCGGATTTGATGTCATTCGTTCGCTTGGCTGTAAAAGTGCATGGTCTTTATTATAATAATATAATGGTGTGCGGACAGAAATGGTTAGATATTTCCTATAATACTATACGTGTAATTACGATAAAGGTATACGATGTTTGTATGTGGACGTTTGACTAGGTAGCTATTTTCGCTTTGTTGAAAATTTGTCGGCAGACATCACAAATCGTCCTAGCGGAAAGCACACGTACAAATTATTCAGCCATTTGGGATTTTCGTGTCACGTTGCCAAGTGAAAACCCGTAAAAGCTCCTCGTATTATTTATATGAAATTACGTTTGGCTTTGGCTTACAATAATTAGCGTGACATACTATTATTATTTCGGAGCCGGCGCGGCATCTATATTAGCTTTAATAACCGCCATGAAACAATTGTTTTGCATCAATCAAAAGAATAATTAAAATCCACGAATTTCCCTTACCGATGAAAATACAATTGGCGTTTGAAAAAAAAAATTAATTAAAACGAAATATTCTCGGATAATAATTTTTAGCCGCGATTCTTAGGTTAAATGTTTTGGGAATTTTATTAAAAAATTAATAGTATTATTATACTTATTTTAAGTTAAATGAAAAACAAATAAAAAAAACCACGGTTTTATGTGTTCATAACTTCAATACACTAAGAAAAACATTATTCGATTATTATACACAATACACGTAATAATGAAATATAATTATACATTTATCAGTAAAATTCAATTTTTTATTATCTATGAGCATACTTTATTAAAATTTTCAATAAACGCAACAGTATTTTCAATTTTGTTGTTATAGGTTTATTCTTTATATCTTTATACACGACTTCGAAGAAAAACAATTTATTCATATAATTTGATTGAAAAGTTGAAATATGATTCGCGTAATTCACGATGTAACATAATAAAGAACGAAATTTTGAAAACCAATTTCTTCTAAGACCCCTAATCGTGTTTACGGTTCTTCCGATCAAACAAATTGCAGGCATATATTATGTAGATCAAAAAAAAAAAAAAAAAAGTTTCTCGCCGATGTGATATCGTACGACAGACTCTGAGTCGTTATGAAATCGTCATCGGCAATTAGTCAGTTCAACTTTTACTACAAGTCATAGACGCGACGGAGTGGCCCAGATGTCCCTTATAAGTGGACGACATTTTTTTTATCCAAATAGGTATAGACATTTCAAGCAATCTTTTATCTTGAATCTTGACCGATGTAAATAAATCGCCTTCAAAAATTCAATAATAATCGATCAAAATTTCTGCTCCCCCCCCGCTGCAAAATCAAGGTATGCGTACGCATGTGTTGCGAAGCACCACGAGTAATGAGCATAATAAACAATAATATTATATTTCGTGATGTCACGCGGTCGAATTGGTCGTGTTATCGGTGTTAAACGACAACAACCGCGGTCGCTTATCGTTCAATAATTATTGCAAAATGTCGGTTACCTGAAACACGGACGGCAGTGGCGCCTTGTAGATGGGTTGTATGACGGCCGTGTTCCTGGGCCGGTCGTACTGGACGCCGGTGACCGGCACGCACGTGTCCAGATTGTATTCGGACAGGAACTCTGGCGGCCGCTTGTGCTTGTTGTAGAGGGCGGCCGACGACCGGGCCCGGCGCACGGTGACCGGTCTGGACGCCGTCTGCGCCATCATCGGCGCGAACACGTCGGCGGTCCGGCCGCCGGACGGTGTGGACGGCAGGCTGACGGTGCCGCCCGACTCGTCGCCGTACACGTCCAACCGGCGCCTGGCCTTGCACGGCGTCACGGCCGCCACGGACCGGTCGCCGCCGGCCGCGGACGGCGGCGTGTTGCGCCTAGCCCGGGTGGCCGGTAGCGGCGGCGGACATCCGTTCATCTGCAGTTGTTGCAGCTGTTGGTAGTGGTTGTGCTGCTGCGCGCGCAACAGCAACGTCCGTTCGGCCGGGTCTGCGGTGTCCGAAGGCCTGCGCAGCCGCGTTGGCGACTCCATGTAGTAGAACGTAGTGGACGTGTCGTCGGCTTGCAGGAAGTCCATTGACGGGTCGATGTCCGGTATCTCCTCGTACCGGTGTTGGTCCACTTCGCACGCGTGGTTGTAACCACCGTTGTAGTAGCCGCGCGACATGGCGCTGCTTCGCTAAAATATACAATATTATCATTTATTTATTTATTTACGAGAAATAGGCTTGCGTGCCTACATTGAATTTCATCAGATAGACCTTATAGTATTTCACTAAGTTATTAGAACGAGTTCAACAATAATGAAAACAGCTTTATGAAAAAAATAAATAAATAAATAAATAAAAGACGAGGATATTATAGAAAGATTTAATAAAGTACAATAGGAAAACATTTTAAAAACATAAGGAAGAAATAATGACATAAAAATGAGGTGGTGTTCATTAAGTTCGTTTGTAATTAGTAAGGCAAGAAGGAAGCGGACAATTTTCAGTCGAACTAATAATCCGAGATGGAATATTAAAAATTAAGTTTAAAAAATATTAATAGACAATTATTATTGTTATTATCTTATTGTTGTAGCGTCATTTCGTTTCTGACTGAATAACAAACTAAACAAACAAAAATGTCAAAGATTGTTTCAGCCTTATTACATACTCTGTACATTTTACAAACTAAAACCTAACACGTGAACGCTAAAACACAGCGCTCACATTGTAAAATATTTGACATGATAATTGATTATAATATATATTATCATGTATAGATGCTGTATAGAGCGAATATATATTGGCACAATTTAAATTTCATTTTGGGACATGGAGCGAAATTTTTAACACCCTTTATTCAGACTTTATATATGGAGGTTTAAGGGGAAAGGACGCATTTGTCTTACTAAAATTATTTTATAATTGAAAAAAAAAATATTACTGCATGTTTTATCGATTCAAAAATTGTATAATAATTTTGAATTATTAAAAAAAAATTGATAATTTAAAAAATAAATAAATTATTACCAGAAAAATATTTTATTACTTTAGGCCCCCTAAGCAAACAAGTTCGAAGGCACTCGCATCTTCTGATCCTTCTTAGTTACATCATAATATTGTATACTGTGGTAAAATACTCTTAAATATTAGGTAGTAGTATGATAAAAAAAATTACCCGTTTTTCCCTCTGCTTTTAGCAATTTTACAAATAATTAATATTTACCGATATCATACGTATATAACCTAACCTTTCGTTGAGGGTGTAATATTATTATATTTCTGAAAAATTGACGCATACCAAAAAAATCTTTACCATCAGTGAAACAAAGTACATAGATATTGTTATAAATACGTGTTGAAATATTGAAATAACTATTTTAGTTTCAAATGAATCACTTTATATGTTTAAATAGATAGTTTAATTTTACGTTTAATACATATATATTATATATATATATATATATAATATATACAAGTATACCTACTATTAACATAATTTCTTAAAACTATGATTAATATTTATTTTAATACTAGATAAATTATAATGTGTTATTAATTTCACAATATTATAAAGAAGTATAACTAAAATAATATAACTAATATCACTAAAAGGTTATATAGGCTCAACTATTTTAAATATATATTGTAAGTATTTACCTGTCCATCATCTGGTTGGTAAATATTAGTATAAATTATATATTAACATATTACATACATGTCAACATTATGTGATGTATTACATAGGTACATACATTTAAAATATAATTTATTATTTTAGCTTGCTTAAATATAGACATTGGACGTGGTTACACAAATGTCCTCAATCAAAATTGAGTAAATTCTATTTGCTTACACAGTAACTAGTAGGTAAAATTAAATCATTTAATTTTAAAATTAATCTAGTATACAGTTTATGTAATTATGTTTTGGAAATTAGACTTATTCGAGTACATTAATCTACATCGTGTAGATTATCATTCTCTATTAATAAACATTTGTCAAAATTAAAAGAAAACGAATGTTTACATGCACAATTACACAACCAATGGTTATTTACACAATACTTCACGATAAAAATTGTTTTCATAATAACAGGGCTAAAATAATTCTTATGAATTTTTATGCTGCTTATTATTGTATAGTATGATTTACAGGACATTTCAGAAATCTTAATATACAATCTCTAGCTTTTTGAATTTTCTGACGTTCCTGAGATTAAAGATATTTGAGCGAACTCGGAGTTATGGCTTTTATTACTTTCCTTTCATTTCTATCAAAGCATTTTCTTTTGTCTCCTTTATATATTTCTATCCAATTTATTTTTCATTTTCACAGCTTTATGTATATGTTTTACTTATATATAACTCTATCAAAATCGATCCCTTCAAAAACTGTTATTTCGTTCACTAGTATAAGGTATTAATTTCTTATTTTACTCAATCAAAGTTCTTCCAAAGATAATAGAATTTTGAAATCGTTACAATTTCATAAGGTATTCGTTTAAATCTTATGGTAAATTTTCTTTAATATTAAATTATTGTTTTAATATTATCCAAGCTAAAACTCATTATCTACATGTTTAAATATATTTTATTGACTTGTAAAATATAAACACTCATAGCTTGTATAATAATATAGTTTATTGAATAAAATTACTTTGTTATTGTATTTTTAAGCGTCTTGTATAATTTACGAAATTAGCTTTATTTTAGTAACTTTTTAACTTCAGCCACACCTAAATAAAATAAACTCGTGAGCTAAAAAATAGAAAATAAAAATCATTGAAGATAAGACTCCAAGTAAAATTCTCTTTAAGTTCTAAAGAATGCACTTAACTTCAAATAAACAACAAACCAATCCTAATTTAGCCCTCCACAAAATACTTAGAAATCATACTTGACAAGCGTCTCACGTGGGACCAACATACAAAATCCAAACGTAAACAGGCAAATACACGACTTCACTTACTTAGGCCACTTATAAAATCCAAAATTCAGCTCAAATTTAAAACTCTTATATATAAAGTCATAATTAGACCAATTTGGTCTTGTGGCATATAGTTTTAGGTTCCTGCAAAGCCATTTAATATACGTCTTATCCAAGCCTTCCAATTTATTACCTATAGAATAATAACCGGAGCTCCATGGTTTATTACTAATGAATCACTTCATAAAGACCCTAAAATACCCCCCGCCAACGAACTTGCTGAAAACCAGTATAAACGTTTCCACGTTAAATTGTTAAGCCACCCAAATCCACTCATCAGCAACATATCCTCCTCATTTTTCTCTGGTAATGTTTGATTCTTAATTTAATTATATATTATACCAATAACTATTTAACATTAATTCATTAAGCAAAAAACAACCAAACTAATTAAAATGTTGAAACAGTTTTAAATTAATTTGTTCAATGAATATTTTGCTGATATTAAAATACACTGTGAAGGTTTTTGATAAAATTGAAAAACATAGAGTATTTTTTATTATTTTTCATAATAATGATTTAATAAAATTTAATTACTTTTTGTGCTTGTATAATATATTATTGTATATTATAACTCTCATTATCAAAACATAACAAACAGCAAATTGCAAATAATTATTAACTTGACGTTACGTTTTTTTGAGATTCGCAAAATTAGAAATCGATAGTCGGTACATTTGAATCTACGTAAGTGAAGGTTATTCTACCTTATATAAGTATTTGTATCTAACCGTATTAAATTTACGATAAATGGTACTTCAGAACAGTAGATGCTCAGAAAATGTATTTACTTGCATACACACATACACACACATATATATACATAAATAACCGAATCAGGGAGAGTACGGACCAAAGATTGAATAAGCCGATTTCCTGAATCGCGTTGACAAATGCCACACTTTGATAAGCATTGAAAGTGTTATTTATAGTCGTAATAAAAAGGCTTAACGGAAATGAACTGCAAAGGCCATGATAAAATATATACACCCGATGGTCAAATGATAATGGATATCTGCTGTCACATACTGCGGTATGAACGTTAATTGTTTGTCTACCGCTATATAAAATCCGACCGATTTACGTTTTCAAACGTCGTTAATTGGTATTGTTAATATTTCTTCAAATAATAACAGTCAATCTGAGACGGAGAAACATATATTTCATCATTTGTGTCGACGTGCCATGGTATATAGAGATGTATTTAGAATCAGTGGCATCATTTTGGTCTTCAATAAAAAGAGTAAAAGTTTAGACCGGTTCAAATAGTTAACTTAAAAAAAAATCCACTCTTAATGCTCACAACTACGATTCTTCTTACATTTTTATCAAATTACTCTTGCTACCTTGCATGTATTCTATAATTAAGATAATTTTTCTCTAATATTTACAACGAACATTTTTTTATTTACTAACAACATGATTTGCAAAGACATATATAAAGAAGGAGATATTTTATGTTTTAATTAAATAAAGTTTAACGTGTGTTATAATAAATAATGACAACCGAAATGACTGCTCTATCTCTTAGCGATACTACTAAATGCATCTCTTGTCTACACCATCCATGATGCAATAGTACAAGATGATTTGTTCTGAACACTTTTTTATCGTTAAATTTTGCATTTTATTCAAATTTTGATTTTTTAGAATTATTATTAAATGTGTTCAAAGTCTAAAGATCATTTGTTTAGTTAATGGTATATCAAAACATAGCGATCATACGACTATTTTATCCGGGGTCTTATTTGGATTCTAAAATCTATAATACATATATATATATATATATGTTACATACAAAGTTCGGAATTGTACACTTCGGGATTTGTACAGTGATTTTTGTACACATTGCGAAGTGTACAATGTTGATGTATAAAGTAACTAAATTTTACAAGTTGTGTTATACAATTCGCGATGTGTACAATAATCACTGTACAAATCACAAAATTTAAAAATATATTATAAAAATAAGAATTTTTCAAATAAAAAAAATATTATTATAAAACTACATATATTTCGTCGTTATGTAAATAGTATTTAACTTCATTATTTTCTGATTTGTGTAATGGAATTATTAATTTATTAACTTTACCTACTTTTATAATATCGTAGTGATTCAAACGTCTGTAGTCTAATGAAGTCTTATTTTTCCTATGTTTAGCTTCAAGTACTTCATTTATTATTTTTTTGTAATTTTCTTCAT